GCATATCTGCCTCTATGAGAGACACTGATTCGCTGATTAGAAGAAACAAATTCCCTCCATTTAGATGTTCGCTGCTTCTGTCTGTTCCTATAATCAGTCCTCCTGCTGCCGCCGTCCATACCGTCTTCCTGCGGTACGATGCCAGGTTGTTGTTTGTCACTTTCAATACAGTTAACCAAAATTAGATAAAGAAATAAACAAAATTGCAGGAACACGTAGTTGATTAGCGACAAAACAAGTTTAACAGATTTAACAAATGAAGAACCAACGTGGTCGCTTGAAATAGTCAGAACACATCATAAGGAAAGAAGAGATCAGCGAGGTTTCCACCCGTCTGGAGCAGAATCTTAAACATTGTCTGCGTTAGTAAGACGGTGAAGTATAGACAGTCGTGACTCGATAATCCGACCCTTAACAATCCAGAACCTGCTATCCAACAGGTTTTTAGGAAAAACCAACAGAACCCATTCAAAACAGCCTTAACATAGCGACAGCCTTGGATTGTGACTCCGACATGACATTTAATGTCACCAATCAGGATGACGGCGTATTATCTGACTGAACAATCCCACAGATTGGCTACGTTCACACTGCAGGACTTGATGCTCAATGAGGATTTCTTTGTGACTTCCTTCACGTTTCCAGTTCAATGCGACTTGTATGTGATCTGCTGTGTGAACTTCATACGACCCAAAAGTGTCCCGCATGCGCAGAAGAGGACACGACGACGTCACACGCAGCGAGCGTGCTCAGTGTTTATGGAAGTAAACATGGATGGTAACGGTGGAGCGTATCTGCCACTCCCCCGCCGCCACCGATGGAGGAAACAGAAGTGTGAGCGCTAACTAAACTAGCATCAGCAGCCAAGTACTGCCTGTGTGTTCTGGACACTTCCACCCCGTCAGAGCGCTGCCCCGGGGTGGAAGTGTCCCCCAACCGCACAGAATATTCATCATTAACTGGGCCTGAATATCCAGAGAGCAGAAAGTTGTATTGGGACCAGCCCTACTAGTTATTATAACAACTATGAACAATAAATATTAACAACTAATGAGCCTTCCAGCATCAAGCCCTCCTCGTATCTGGACCTCCGTCTTGCTATCCGACATGAAAGAAGGTTTTACGTTTAGTTTTGGGTCATTGAGTCACGACTGTATTCTGATGTGGACATTTTTTATCTGATGGTGACACTTGAGAAAACGTCATAGTGTCACCACCAGATCTTGTCACCTTGGGAGAGTGAAAGCAAGACCAGATTATATGCCAATTGTAAACAAACAACAACAACAACAACAACAACAACAAAACAACCATGTGTACTTGTATAATATACCTTGTAGGGGTCGACCAATGTTTTTTTCCCACAGCTGTTAATACCGATTGTTAATCTTCAAGGAGATGGATAACTGATGTTTAGAACAACACAAACTCCAACACAAAAGTATGTTGACATGCCTTTATTGATGTTTTTTTTGTGTGTGTCTAATTAAAAGGGAATTCTCTAGATTTATCTGATAGCTGATAATCGGTTGAACGCTGATTATCGGCTCCAGTAGTTGACTGATAGTCAGCTGACCTCTGAAGCAGTGTTGGAGATGCTTTGGATCCTGATGCTCCAACATTTTTGGTCGTCTCTTGAAAATGTCAGAGTGAAGCCTGACTCACCTCAATTACTTCTGGACCACTCTAACAATCCACCTGAAGCCTTTCCCTCACCTTCACAAGACCAAATTCTCAAACAAGATGGCGATGGAAACCAATAAATAAATGCACCGTGGCGTTTTGATTTCACTGATGTATGTTCTTCATGACGCCGTCCACGTTCAGGTAAAACAAACGTGTGCTGCTTACAACATCCAAGCACCTCCAGGTATCTGTAGGTTTTTTTAAGCCATGTCACTGAGTGCAGCTCCAGAACTTTCCAGCATCCAGGTACTCATAGTTTGAGCGGACCTTATAGATTCTAAAAGCAGCCATATTATCCACTGACTTCTAACTAGAGCTCTAGATGCACTCTAATGATTTAGTAATGCCATTTGCTTGTGGTGTTTAGACTGTGCAGCAAATTGAGTCATTACTCAGTGTTGTCGATTTAAATTGCTCCTGTCTCGGTGGCAATTCCATTTTGTTTCAGGAAGAGAGAGAGAGCATGGTAAGCTGTAATCCCCCCAGTGACTGTATTAATTCACCCCGGCTCACGTTACGCTCCTGATGAACAGCACCGACTACACCTTCCTGTCATTGATTAATTGTGTGTTAAAGTAACAGAGGAGTGAATTAGTAAATAGGGGACCCCTATGACAAGGGCTGACTCATGTGTTCTTCCTCGATGTAAGGGAGTAATTGGAGCTCCCACTCAACACTTTTACCCCCTCCTTAGTCCACGTCACCTCTGCCACTATCTGCTCCTGCCAGGCGCCTGGCGCACTACGCCCACTGCCACTGTTGTCATTTGCATTCTGTGGGCAACGCAGTCTACTTTACAGCATCGCAGCGGAGAAGGACGCAGGAGAGCAGAGTCATTTTAATGGGTCAAATGTATTCAGATGAGGACAAACGTGGCTTATTTAGTTTCCCTTCAAAGGCAGGAAATGGAAAAAGTGTTCCCAGGAGAAATCATGTTCTGCCTGGTGTAGAAGGCCTCTGCCGTGTCGGTGGGAGCTGCCAGGCTCTGATAAGAGACAGCTATTCGCATCTCAGAGTGTGCGTGTGCACACAAAATCCCCGCTCGTGTGTTTGTGTGTGTGTGAGTGTGTGTGTGTGTGTGTGTGTTGGAAAAACTGTCAGAGCATTTGCTCATTACAAAATGACCTGTAGGATGGGCCCCCTCCAACATGACATGGTAATGGCATGCTGGGAGACAGGTAGGAGGAAGCCTCGCCGCAGTCACTCGTCACACAACACTGGTATTATTAGCTCTGTATGCGTTATCATTAGCATCTCTGTTAAAGGGCCCCCAGCCACCAGGCTCCCCTTTTCTCTGCTGGTATCAAGCAGTCCAGTCTGAGCTCACATAATGAGAAGGGCACGAGTCCTGTTGGAACGGGCTGTGCTTCCTATAGGGGAGACATATGACAAAAACACTATGCATGCTGAATAATCTTTGTGATTGTGTGTCTGAGCTGACTATCCTCCAACCAACTTAGCAAAATGTCTTCATCCTCTCTTGGAGGCTCAGGCAGGATCAGGTGGTCACTTTGTGTCCCGTCTCAGTTATTATGAGGCTGAACGGAGCTCCGTAGCGTCAGATATCTCTCATGTGCGTCCTCCAAAGTCACAAAAACAGCATCATTTAACGCTGCAGTCAACACCAACACAACCTGCACCGCTGAGACCTTTTCTTGGGGCTGTGAAGTATCACCATCAACAAACCTCTTTAAGTCCTATGGGGGGGGGGGATTAGCACACGTACAGCGCAATGCTTTTCATGAATGTAAACACACCCCGGCTCCTTTATTTTACAGTCCACGCTCTGAAACGTTCACTCAACATCAGTCTTTTTTTTTTCCTTCATTTGACTCCGACTGTGGTAAATTTCTACACCTTGTCTTGGCAGTCTTTGTAATATTGTCAAGAGTGCTCAGGCACTCACTCTGTCTGGACTTGCTAATGTTTAAGTGATTTTTCCTCCTAAGTGGCACCTTGAAACTGCCAGTCAAACATTTTAGTATGAATATCTGCGAGCGCTCAAGTGTTTTTTTCCACTATAACTGTTCACCAATCACGCTGCCTTTAGTGGAGACAATGACTCTGCACTGTAATCTGAAGGACTTTATCACCGTGCAGCTCTTTATTTCTCTTTCCTTCGCCTCTGGCTTTCTTTCACAGACCACACCTTTCCTAAGCGTTATTTACTCGCTCTATCAGTAGCCACAAGCTGTAAATGCCATTTTGAAAATGCTTTGCGTCTTATTAATGGCCGTGCAACGGAGTGCTGTAATTTGCTGTGCTTTGCTCTTATTGGAGGCGAGGGATCTAAGTAGGTGCTTTAGAGCAGCCGAGAGAACCTGTTTGTCCTTGACATAAAATAAAGATCTGAACTGGTAATATATTTGCTGTTTCTCTTCCTTTATTGTTTTGCTGTGTTTGCCCTCAGGCAATTACAGCAGAAGAGTCGTGTTTCTCAATCACTCAGCAGCACTGTACATAAAACCATTTTATATCCTCCTCCCCCCCGAACCCTCCCTCTTTCCACCGCAGTGGGAAGGATGAGTAATAAAAAGGAGAGAGCAACTTGTCAGCGTTAAAAGATTATGTGTTTTGCCCCCTCCAAAGGAAGAGAGTAGTGTTTACAGGCTTGAGTGGGTGCTCGCTAGGCCGAGGCTGAGGCTGATTGCACTAGAGTACCCTGTCAGCCAGTGATTTGTCATGTACTTTATCATCCTTGTCACTCTGCAGAGCGTTGTCATAGGTAACGTTCCCGCCTGCCCCCTCCTCTCTCCGTGCTTTGTACCCAGTCAGTGTAGGAAATTTGTATTTACTTTGGGGGAGTGTAATTTGTTCCTCATGGATAATATGACCCTTAGCGGAGCCGGATCACGGGTTAGTTGAAGTGATATTTTCCGGTAATGGTAGTCGTACATCATGGCTGTCAGGCCGGGTTAGGAGGCGAGCACATTACAGCTCCATTTTAGCACTGCAGGCATCTGGGATTATTTTCCATAACCAAGTATGACATGACCGCTCTGCGGAGTGCATTAAATTTTTACTAGCTTTTTTCCCTCCCCCGGCAACTTCTGTGGCTTTTCCCCCGGTCTGGGTCTCGGGGCTGCCACGGTGATGGATACCCCCAGAGTCCCAGTAGTCCTGGCCAAGGTTAGCGGGTGTCACAGACCTACACCGCTCCCCTCCATCCAATAACCGGCAAATCCCTGCTCCCTCTGAGGCGCGTGCACCGCCCACCACTCACTGGTGCAGCCAACCCCAAACCTCCACTCACAGCCGCGCAAACGGAGGCACAAAGGAAAGGAACGTATAAAGTCTTCTTTAAGGAATCAATTAGCAATTTACTGTGAATAAAGGAAGAAGAAAAATCCTTTCTAGGACAAACAGACAGACAGACATGTGGACACTTGTGTAAACCGTCCCGCCTTCACGTCAGCGAATAGAGATCCTGCTTACATACGTTGCACTGCAGGGCTTTTGATTGCTTTCCTTTTCCGTTCTGTTCTTTCCTAGTCCTCTCATTCTCCCCCATTTTGATTCCTCTCTCCTTGGCAGCAAGGTCAGCAGTGTAAATGCCACCTCTTGCCATTGACAAATGGTCGCCCCCCTGTCTGATAATCAGTAAGGTCTCAGAGGTGGACGAGCAGGCGGAGCTCATTAGGGCGCCACAGATGAGAAATTAATGTGGAGATTCCAGGCCTGGCAGAGAGCCGCGCTGATGGGCCCTGGGTGGGGGGAGCTGGAGGAGCTGGGGGTGGAGGGGAGGGAGGCTGGATGGATGGAACCTGTCTGATGGATGACCAGGTCAGCAGGCAGCAGCACTCCCCAGACAGCCCCACACATACACAAACAGACACACACCCGCCGGCCTGCAGCCTCCCCCGTCCTGGAGTGCAGCTCAGCTCACCGGGCCGGCCGGCCGGCGGTACAGTACCGACACCGCAGAGTGTCAGACCGCAGGAAGGGCAGGGAGCGCCGTTTCACCCCCCCGCTGACACCCTGGTAATTAAATGGAAGCAGCTTAATTGACATGAATGTTCACATTTCTTTCTTGTGCTGAACTGAGATGGTGACACGAGGTGAAATGTCAGGCTGCACTTCACAGGTTATTTATACTGACTGTGTGTGATATTATTATTTTTTTCCCTAATTTGCTCTTGTCACACCCTTAAATGTGCCTTTGTTGCAGTGTGCATTGCACTTTCCTGGTGAAGATATTTAGGTAACATGTGCTAAAACCGTATTAAATGAAGATTTTTTTGACTGTTAATCTTTTTTTTTCCAGTTTTGTAAAATTAAAGATAGGAAATAGTAAAAGCACTGAAAAAGTAAATAGAGAACCACAAAAAAGGGCAAAGCTGTAAGTAACAGTGAAAGTCTTTGTATTTTTATTTTTTTTTAATTTTTTGCTATTTTTTCCAGCTGTACTTAAATCAACAAAATATATTATTTTACAGATATTTGTGATTATTTGAAAGAATTTCTCTTGTTTTGTTACAGATAAAAGTAAAATCACAGAAAAAAATGTTGATTTACATAAAAAGAAATTAGTAAATACTATCCCCCTAAAAACAAATCTGTATTTTTACAAATACTGATCCGTTCCTGTACGATGTGTGACTATAAAAAGCTTTACTGTGTTTGGATCAGGTATTATTTCCATTGTTCTTACAGTTTCTGAACGTTGCAGCACTTTATTGTTTTTAACACGTTTTATTTATTTTGCACCTTTGCTGCCAGATTTTTTTTTTTACAGAATTAGTTTTTCAGTGTTGTTAAAAATAATTTCATGGCCTTTCTCACCTGCCTCGTGGACGTCGTTCTTGTTTTCTTCGTACAAATCTACACAACAGAACAGCCAGCCTGCTCCATAAGCTTCTATTGTTACGTAGTGGAGCCGGTGTTCCATTAGAGGAGACTTGAGGAGCTGTGACGGTGAACTGAGAGTCAGCAGGATGACTTGTTTCTGGGGCTCTGACCCTCCTCCATCCTCCCATTGTGACCCATTTACAGTAGCCTGAACCTCCTCGTCGTCCCGGCAGGTGAACCCTCATTCTGTCACCGTACGTCTCCTCCCGGTACCACTCAGAGGTGGACGCTGATCAGCGTGTCATTAGTGTTGTGTTTGCACCATCTGTCTCTGTCAAGCTTTACAATATTTTAATAGCAACGGCAAATAGAAAAGGACCCTCAATGTCAGCAGCTAAAAAAAGAGGCCTTTAAAGTTTAATGATTATTTTTGTAAACAGCCTCTAAATGCGTTTTAAGGTGGATCTCAACAGATCCAGAAGAATAAAGATCAGATCAGTGTAATGTTTTAATCGCCTTCTGATCATTGATTAAACCCCTAAAAGCTAATATCTCTCTATCAGACATTTAGAAGTTTTTCCCCATGAAAATAATCCCTCAGTTTCACAGCTGTACACCATTACATCACATCATTAGCAGCTCAGATCACATTTTAACAGCAGTCTTCAGAAGTAAAAGTCTTCCAGTTTGCTGAATGCAGAGCTGTTGACAAAAACATTTCCTACATGCAGTGAAAAATAGAGTGTAGGTCCATATAGATGGACTTTTTCCATTTAAAGGGGCAGAAATCTGGAAAAAAAGTCTGAAAATACAGGCAGCTCCCCCGACCAGAGGAGCACATGTGCATGCAGGCACTTCAAACGCACAAAAATAGTCACGTTGAAGTGTTTTTAGTTGTGGCTTGACACAACTCTCCAAACTCAACGTGTGCCGTCTTACCAAATTTTACAACTGCATGCTACTCCCACCACGGACCAAAATGATTTTCCAACATTTATAAAAATCTGAAAGCACTTAAAATTACAATACGGTGAAAAGTTTGTTCAGAATTCTTACCCAGTGATGGAAAAAAAAAATGGCCGCCTCCTCTCGTTTTGATGCTAGTTTGCAGAACTTCTCAGAACCGTCCAGTAAGTACACCGCGGTTTAAAAACTGGCATTCTCTGTGCTTATCAGACATGTCTGGAGTTTTTGTACAACCATTCACAGGCACTCTAGCTTTGGTATGTAACTGCTAAATATTTGTTTAATGGTCAGAAGAAGTCAAGTTATTAAAAGCCCCGGACGACGCTGATTGCATTGACGCTGATTTTTTTTTACCGTAAGCGCCGCAGTTTGGCTGCTGAAAGACGCAATTGTAGGAAGTTTGACTCTTTACCTTGAGATGTGATATTATACAAGCCCTAATGTGTTGCACTTGCCTCTGGAGTGCTCAACCTCACCATTCATTTATGGCCAACAATAAAATGTAATAATGCACACGTTTGAATAGGACAAGGTTGCCAAGTCCTTGAAATTGAATGGGGAGAAGAAAAAAAAAAAACAGTCACAGCGGTGAATCATGTTTCTAAGGCAATGATTCAATTCCCAGAGCAAGCTGAGAACACAGGGAATGGAAAATAATTCAATCAGCAACAAAAACCATAAATATGCTGTTTGACTGAGATGTTCACTCCTGTGGAAAGAAAAAGCTATTTCCATCTTTCCTGACCTGGAAAAGAAAAATGTTTCAGGCAAATTGTGTACATATATCAAAGACTTTATGAGATTGGCCACATGCGGAGAGGCTTCGGAGTGGAAACAAAACCCTGGTTAAAGAAATATTAAGTCCACTATAGGTTTAAGAAAAGCAGGAGTGTAATGAGGGAGATATTTTCCACTGTTTAAGTTCTGCACACATGATGTAACAGCCGTCGTGCAGCAGGATTTCTTTATCGATAGCGCTGAGGCGGCGCGGCGTATTACTCTGGGTAACTGATTGAACTACTTCCGTAGCCATCTGCTGAGCACATCATTAGCTCTGCCCATATTTCTAATAATGTCACTGATGTTGTTTTAGCAGGATTATTAAAACTAGTTAAAATAACACCCATGCTGCCAAACATGTCGAGTCAAACCAAATTACATACATTTTTAATGTCGTTGACCTGAGCAATTATGAACCTGCTCCATATGGCGCCATTTGTCAAACAGAGGGCTGGCGGGTAGGAGAGCGTGCCGCGGCGCTCGGCGTACGCAGAACCTTCTGGGTCATGTTAGGCCGGTGGATTTGTGGCCGATCAAGAGTAAGCAGCGCCCCGGCTCCTCAGGTGTCTGTCCTCATCTCTATTTATGAGGCAGTGTTGCCAGTTACCAGTCTTTAATAATGCATGGAGTAAGACCTTGGGTTCAAACCAGTGTCTCTGGAAACAGGCCGCTTATGAAAAAAAAATTGGTTGTTGTTATGCAGGAAGCCCTTCGCAGCACCTATCTCTTTTCTCTCACGCATCCCTCTTCATCCCTCACTGTCTCTCTATCTGCCCTCGCTCCCTGCTGAGAGTGAGTTCTCCGACACACCAAGGTTAAACTTTCTCACTGCGCTCGGCGGATGTCAGTCAAGGCCCGGCTCACCTGCACATAACCCCCCCCAGCAACCGGGCCACTGACTCTCACACAAACCCTCTGCCCCTTTATTGCCCTTTTGTCAAGCCAATGATTTCTGCAGGCAACTTGCTTCAGAATTGACTGGCTGCTCTCTGTTCTCTGTCTTTCCGCTCTCCACGGCAGCCTCGGCTCTTAGAAAATAGCTTCATCCCTGCGGCCAAGGCAGAATTTCTCTCTCTGTTATTTGTCAGATGACAAAAGCAAACCCGGCGCACTCAAAACGCAAACACCAAAGTCTTATTTATACCAAATTAACGGGGTTGCAGACTGTAATGAAGTTTATGGCAGAAAATTTGTTTAACCCAGAATATATTAAAAATCTCTGCCTCAAAAGATCTGTGCGCATAATTTTCTGCTTTTATTCACGCAATTAGACTCTCGCATTCTCTCTGGTTTTGTTTTATTTGATATTTGAGCTTTGCTGTGTTCTGTACTCCGCCGCCTGCTTGATAAGTCATTAGATTTGGCTAACGTGTTTTAGCTGCGCACCAGTTGTTTCCATAGAATCACACTGCAGGTGCAGAACAATATGACAATAAATCAAGACTTGCTAGCTGACGGAAAAATCCCATTTTGGACAGCGTGGTGCGGTCGGGACCATCGGACATAGGATTATTAGACGCCGCAGCAATGTATCGCAAAGCTCAGAGGCAAATAACTGCTGCAGATGACCATAACTCTAATATCACGCTGTGTAAGTCACCAGAGGCAGTGAGTCACTACAGAGGATGATCCTAAATGAGGGAAATAAAGAGCAAGCCTGTCAGAATGACAACAATGTCCCAGCATGCTTGGCGGCAGCCACAAACAATCCTAATGACATCAGGGGCTCTGAAGAGCGGCTGTATGCTGCCGGCTCCTGGGCTCAGGCCGGTCCCCGAACCCCTCCCACATCCTTTCCCTGCAACCGCCACCACCACCGCACTGCTTGTTAGAGGCAGTGTAATTAGGTGGCTGAGCTTGTTGCAAGTAGCCCAGGTCACAGAGGCATGTCCAACCCTTGTCCTGATTGCTCCTTGGGGAATTATTGACAAAACACAAGGAGCATTGCATGTTGGGCTCTAATTATGTGTACAAGACATAGATGGCCCCGGGGAAATTAAATGAAATTCCCCAGCTTGATGGGTCCTCCACACTCATGGGATCCATTCTGTTTCTTATTAAGCTCAGCCATTGTCTGCCTTTATGAGGCTGCTGCGTGGAGCTAGGCACCAGCTAAATGCTTTTAAGTGTCTCTCTTTTCACAGTGGTAATACATCAATGACTCATGGTGGAAAATTGCCTGTCGATTGTGATCTACACTGAAGAGAGCGTAAGCAATAAAGCAGCAAATATATTTAACTAATGCCCGCTAATATTGTAAATATAGGGTGTGAAATGGAACACCTGCTTGCTGTTTCATTGTGTAATCGCTTTCTTTTCACCGCGGCTCGGTCTGGACACATCCAAACACCTCTGCTCTAATTCCCCTGGCCCAGATACCGGACAGGAATTGATAGTCTCCTGCTTGTGCAAATGAAGTGATAAGGGGTCTCACCCAGATTACACAAGGCCTAAGTGGCACTGAGAAAGCTTATGGAGATGAATGAATTCATGAGGCTGCCTGACAGATTCTTAAGAAGCTATGTAATAAGGGATAAATCAAACAGCTACCATTTTGCCTCTGAATGATTTCAAATTAAAGCTAAGGGAGATGACAGACCTCCCAGGAGTGAGTGAACTTCACTATAAAACTGTGGCTGACCCTTATATATATTTCTCTATCATTAAAACACCCTAATGGCTAATGTAAAAAAGGCTGCATAAGCAGTAAATACTCCATTCCTTTTGATGCAGCACAGTGGGATGTTAGTGGTCTTTGAATTGCCAGACTGTGGGGGCAGGCCCACTCCCAGAGGTCTGCCCACTGATCATTCTTACCGGCATTAATAATTGAGCATATTATGTTGTAAGACGGTTGATCATCCAGGACTATTTGGGAAAAATCTGTTATCTCTGCTGCTCTCTCACACACACACGTGGAAAATTGAGTCATGACCGCTGCAGTATATGAGCTGGTTAAGAAAACAACACTAACAAGAACAAAGTGAATGCTTTATACAGGCATGGGCTCCTGTCAGGGCTTCCAATAACATTCACCCAACATCATTACACAGCTCTATACATGGCTGTAGCGAGCGGCGCGCGGCTCGGCCAGATCTTCCCCCACAATCCCCCCGGAGACCAGTGTTGCCCACTGTGATCATCCTCCATCGATTGCTCATATGAACGTTTGTACAGGCGAACAGCAAAGCCGCCCTTATGGAACCAGAACCCTACATGTAAATGTCAGGCCACCTCATTGATATGGCCCGCATCACAACAGCACGGAGCTCTCAGGTCAATTAGGCATGGGCGAGCGCTGTATTAGCCCGGTCCACCCAGTCCCACATGCCCCCTGGCCATGCAGACAGCCAGCTCACTAGTACAGTGAGCGCACACACACTGAAAATGTTACCAAGACCAGCATTCAGAGAATAATTGGCAGAAGATGCAGATGTGCTGGCTGCCGCAATCCGAGGCCAGAGAAAAGAATGTGATGTGTTTCGAATGGCAAGTGGAGGTGAGTCATACTGACACTGCTGGCCCTAATGATATTTCTTCTTGGCAAAGCTACACAACCAGGGGAAGGAGCCGGAATGTCAGCATGCAAACTAATGTGTGGATGGCATTTGGTGTTAGCTGTCATGTGTCGGCCTGAGTTATGTGATTTAGCTCCTACAGTTGCAGCCCAGACACCAATTTCATGATGTTAATCAGTGCCAGGCCTCGCGTTCTGCTTCCCTAAATCCGCCCCCGCATCTTCATACATAGAAACATGTCACGGGAGTCCGCGAAGCACATGCTCACCAGCCAGCGTGTATGTCAGCTCATAAAGTTGTAGGCATGCAGTTCTAAATAACAAAGCAAAAGACGTGCCCTTTGGGTGGTGAGATAGCTCATTACCTATGAGCGACCTTCCATCTGCACTCATGGCTGCTCTGGGAGCCATTATGATTATGATGGAAATCTCACAAGCCATTACTGGGAGACAGCGCAGGGCTCACTGCAGACACACTAATGGACTCATTTGTAATTGGGAGAGAGGGAAATGACTCTGTGAGCTAGCAGTGGCGTTGTTTGATGGAGTATGGGGGAGCACAGACTAGATTTGACAAATGAAACGGGTTAGTTGTCTATGTGAACTAAACTGCGGCGTGTCCTGCATCGCCGCGTACGCGCGCACGCAAACACCGTCCTCCCTTTCCTGGTGTCCAGCAGCAACCCAACTCCCAGGAGCCTGTTTGCATTATCCTTTGATGGAGGGAGGGGCGGGCTTTAGAGTTTGAAGATTAATCTGCGGGACCCACAGGACATGTAGGAAGAGTTATTAAAGAACACATTGCTTAGAGGTGATAATAGTGTTGAAATTGACTGGCGGGGTTTGGGTGGGGCATGTGTCACCCACTAAATCTCGGGATTTAACGGCGAATCTCGTGCTGATCCCTCAGCGGGGTACTCAGTCGTGACT